TCCACATAACACACACGATGAGCCCTGCAGGCGGACTGGAGCCAGTCGTGGAGGCCAAGGAGTCTACTGAAGCAGCCAGCACCGCGACCAACTGTGGGAATGGGACCAGAGATAAAAACGGACTTTCCACACTGCTTTAAAAAGTTAAAAAGACGGTTAAAATCTGATTTTGTCAGCTCAGACTGCTGAAGAGCGGTGTCATTTGTTCCGACATGGACTATCACTCTTGTGATGGAGGACAGGAGCGACGGCATTAGGTCCTGGAGTTTTTTAAAAATGTCAGCCGTGGTGGCACAGGGGAAGCAGTGAGTGGTAGCGTTAAAGAAACGGATGTTTCTGGTTATGGAGTCACCAATTATTAGTGTGGCTGGGGAGAAAAGAGGACGAGGAGATGCCAGTTGTGGGGTTCCAGAGCAGGACTGAGCAGAATCTGCTTCAACACTGTGTGCGGACTGAGGATGGAGTGTGTGAGCTGCCGAGTGTTGTGTTGGAGTAGCAGTAACAGACCTGAGAGAAGGGCTACCCGACAGTGCAGGGTAGAGACGGCCTCCGGAGTGTCTGAGCACAGCCTCCTTCAGGATCCTACGTTGGGAAGCGGAGGTTTTTGACCGGGATGACGGCCGCCAATCAGGCCCAGCGGGAGACCGGCGGCCCAGTGCAGGAGATGTAGCTGGTGGAGGAGATGCAACAGTGTCGGCAGGCACTGTGCGCCGAAAGAGATCTGTATCAGGGAGACTTGAAGCCGCACTTGCATCCGCTGGATTGACCGGAGTGTCGTTAGACAAGGCTGCATAGCGGTTGGAGAGGGCAATGTGCGGAGGAGAGGCAGCCCCATCCGAGCCTCTCTTAAAGCCACGGACCACCACTTCAGCCCAGGTTGACTGATGCTTCGGAGTCGAGCAGGATGAAAGCCTGGGAAGGCTAGAGGGGTCCCAAAACATGGTGTCCTGGATGTTAGCGGTTGCGCTAAGAGAAACAATCTGTTTGGCTTGTACTGAAGCCACATCCATAAAGCCAGTCAGCAGGGAATCTTTCTCTTTGAGTTCCTCTGAAAGGTCAGCAATCTTCTTGTTCGCTTTCTTAAGGAGTGAGCAGTCCTCATGGGGCAGAGTTATCTCGGCTAGCATAGTCACCGGAGCTTTGTTGCGATCAGTAGCGTTGATCGCATTTTTACGGTCATCTAGCTTAAAATCCATGTCGGATGACTAAAATCCTTAACCCACGTAAAACTTAAGTTAAAAACTTAAATTAAATAAAAAGGATATAAAAATAAAATCCTTAACCCACGTAAAACTTAAGTTAAAAACTTAAATTAAATAAAAAGGATATAAAAAATGTAACGAAAAAGAATGGATTAAAACTGGATAAGAGTTCGGTTTAAGACGGAGCTTCCGACAGGTGGCTACAGACGCCAACGCATGCGCAGAGTGCAGATCTGTAGCCTGCGTTTGATTTTATTATTTATTATTGTATAAGTAAGTGCATGATGAGCAATGCACAATCCAGATTTCCTCCTATGTGTACACATATCTGTCAAATAAAGCTCTGATATTATGTCACTCCTGTGTTAAAAAGTTAAAATGTCTTAGCAGCATATAGGTGTTGTCACTTTAAGAGGGTAACCTCTGACCCTGAACTGAACTTTTTTTTTTTAAGAGAGGCCTCCGATTTGTTCATGTAGATGCCTGTCACCTTTCTAAACTTGTGATTGGTTAAGGGGCGGGCCTAACAGGCAGAGCAGAGCGGAGCTACAAGTCAGCCTGCTGCTTCCAGCTTGTGTTTTTCTCTGGAGGTAATTTAGCCACAAGCTGCAGCAGACAGAAAGGTGAAATTTAATAATTATACAGACAGTCAGTATCCTGGCTGGTTTATAATAGGTTTGTCAATCTGCTACACAGTTTTGTGTATTTTACTGTGTGAGAGCCGTGCTAGTCTGCAGATAGCAACAGGTTAGCAACATCGCTAACAGCAAGCTAACGTTAAACGGACGCTGTCTCACTGACAGCGCCGCGCGTGAGCTGATAAGCACCTCTGGCTTTGAGGGAGACCTGTCTTCATCTTCATCTTTCTGAGAGGACTGCAAAACAAGACACCAGTGGGAGTTATCTGGACGATGCTGTGAAACTGAACTTACTTTAAAGGGTTAAACATCGCTGCCCAACACATACAGATACATAACACATTAAAACAGGATTTTTATGGCCGCTTGCCATAATGCAAACACATTTTTTACATCTCCTCCTAGACCGTAGCTCTAATTGCCACCAAATTTTCTCTGGATCATCATTGGCCTTAGCTTATATAAAGTTGTATAAAGCTTGGTGATAGCTCCTTTCGTTTTCAAGATATTGACCAATAAACATGTAAAGGGTGTGGCTCAGGACATAAATAGACAAGAATCCGCAAGCGTTGGTCCAATCATCACAAAACACACAGGATATGTTCACGAGTGCCAGAAATATTCCTTGAAAGTTTCATTCAAATTGACCACTAGGTGGCGCTTTAAATGCATCGTAACTGGACGTGAAATGATACAAATCAAGCTATAGATCAGAAAATGGTTGTCCAGTTGTTACAAAACTTGCAGGCTGTGTTTCATAACAATGTTGAACCGTATGTGTGAAATAATTTTGATGGCGATATTGTGAACAAAGGTGTGAACCCGCGAATTGCCGCTTGTGGCTATATTTATTATTATTATTATTAATATTAAATATTATTATTATATTAGACATTACATTGTTAGTGTACAGTAGAGCTGTGGTCACAGTATTGGCAGGCGGCCTCTGTGCTTGGGGTATTGCGCAATACAAGCAAGAAAGCATCATCTCAAACCATCAGCAGCATTTTGTGTGCTCGTGACATTGCAAGTTCTTTCTTCCAAGAACGACTAGCAAGAACATTCTCCCCAATAACACAAGTCCTTTCTTTGCATTCTTGGTTTTGAGAAACACCCCTAAAGACCTCACTGACCTTAGCAAGGTGGCGGTCCGCAACGTCTCTTTTGACACAAACCACAGCTGTTTTTCGACTGAAAACAGCGAAAACGACAAAAGTAAGTCAGCGGTTAAATGTATATTGCTGCGTTGGTTGTTATTATTAGTCGGCTAATAACTCTGAGTTTTGTGAGTTGAGTGATATGATCCATTTGCATTTTGAGGGAAAAATTGATCGTCCTGCCCAGTCATTGCATAAATGGTGGGCTCTAAACTGAAACTCAGATAGAGAATGAATGAATGGAGGTGACCCAGTCACTGAATAAACAATCTGCAGATGAGAAACTTCTCCTCATTTGTTCATCTGCTCTTGTAATCTGACCGCTCCATGGTTTCTAGCTGTTTCTAATTCTTCATGTTTGGGGCCTGTATGGACGTTTTTCTGGTGAGGACGGACTGGTGGGGCTGCAGAGACACCCCTGGGTTTCCACATGGCCATTATACTGTCCAGAGCCCTGCTGACAAATGAAAATGGCTTGTGCAGACTGTAACAAAAACAACCCTTCTGATACTGTAATGGCAACTTTTATTTATTCAGACTTAAACTGTTACATAAGATATTTGGCATTATAGACTCCTGCAGGCATTGCTGTGTGGGTTTTGCTTTAATGCTATTGTGTGCTATTTTATTGTGCTGTTAATCATTTGTAAGTGGTTATTTCATGTGAATTACTTGACAGCTGATGATGAATGAAGTCAGTCAAACAGAATGTGGTCTGGTGTATAGGGCGTGTTTGCCTTCCTTGACGTAGCTGGGGAGAGAACCAACTATCAAAATAAAGGAAACACCTGGAAAAATAAGGAACACAAACTATAAAAGCTGATGGGGAGCAGTTTCCTGTAATGTCTGCCCGATGCCCTAGGGGGCAAGTTAAACACCAGTGCACACAAAGTGAATCTGAACCATTTTATTCTTATAATGCATGCAATTTGCAATGGCAGAGGCGTCTCTCAAGATGCTACGTGTTTTCTAAACATCCTGTGCAGAAGTGTCCCTACACACAATGAATCCTTCAATCTGCTCAAGTACATAGCAAGTGTTATCACAAATCTAAAGAAATCTTTAGATTTCCGTCTCAGTCGCATCTTCCCCCACTTCAGCTGGGAGTTATTGGAACACTGCCTGACACACTATTTCCTCCATCATCAAACCACTAGATAAAAGTTGTCTTGGAAGAAACTGTCACTCCTCAGCTGACTTGCAAGCACTTTAAATCATACATGGAGAAAGCCTTTATTTTTTGTAAGCTGTTTTTTATTGGGACTTTAAACATTATCGCTGCGCAGAAGCATTATAGCAGACCGATACACAATCATGTACAGGTGTGAGGTCCTGTTCAGACAGAGAAACACAAGGTGAACTGTTTTCATCTTTTTTTCACCTCAAAACAATCTGTCCACTTAGCAGCACTGACGGCATTGCTATGAGGAGCGTTATTGAGGAGCTGTTTCTCCCGGGTGGACTTACTGTAAAATATTTAAGCCAGTGCAGAGCTTCATGCCATAAATGTCACAGTCAAATAGAAAAAGTATTCTCTTGGTGGACACTCTCAGTTAAATTCATCCTAAGTAGTGGTGGAAAGTGAGTACATTTACTTAAGTTGACGTACATGGACTTTAAATTAGTATTTCAATTTTACACTACTTTATACTTAACTTTGAGACTTGAAGTACATTTTCCTGATAATACCTACACACTTTTACTTGTAACATTTTCAATGCAGTAATTTTACTTTTGAGTATTTTTACAGTGTGATGTTGGCACATTTACCTAAAAGGATCTAAATACTCTTTATTATTTGTTTTGCAGAAGTCTCATGGCAGTGCAGTAGCTTCAGGTGACACAGGCCACATGTAACTCATTTACCTGTGAAAAGACTTACTGAGACTAGAGTCTGAACTCAAATAGAATCCTTTAGATGGACTTTCAGTCTGCCGACAAGTAGGATTACTGTTACCACTCTTGAGCACAGGTAAGTAAATTTCAGGAAGATTATGGCTGGTATCGTATTGTATTTTCTTATCAAGGTACAGGTTAAAATATAAAATAACCTTTAGATGCATGTTTTCTTCCAAAAATTTATTGTTAAGGACATTACTTCTGGATCATATCTTAAAGATGAAGAGGTCTTGGAGGGGTCAAATTATAAATTAAAGAATCAAAGGAAAAAAAGATATGCTGCACTGAAGACCAGGAAGAGTTTTGGTTCTGCAGATGGTCTTTATTCTTCAACCGGTGACAAGTCCATAAAATGCAGAACTGAACTGCACTGGCTAAAACCCAGCTTTTATACCCTTTCCCCACAAATGGCATTCTATGTTATCAAAAGTGACAATCTTGTCCTGTGAATTTACTATTTATGTTATTAGTTTCATGTGCTTTTACAGCTCTGTATAAGTCCTTTCACAGCATTGTACTTATGTTACTTTGCCTCACTCTTCTTCTTCTATTCTCCTTTGATCCTATCATCTGCTATTCTCATATTTTACTCCTCATCAGCATAGACTGCATCAGTCATTGCTTAGCTTGAACAATTAATCACCCCTCTTTAACCACTGTGAATAAATTCCTCTAAAATTGTTGTATTGGTAACAACATTACCTCTAATTTTTCCTCTGCTGAACCACTCCTGGTTGGCATCTCTCAGAGAGATACAGGTGAGGATGAAGGGGAAAAGGGATTTCCCTGGCCAGTAGGCTTCAGCTGGACCATAGCAAGTTACTGGCACACTTATGTTTCAATATAGTAAAGATTACATGACTACAAATAGCATGCAAATATATGCTTTCTAATCAAAGAAAATATACTAATTACTTATAACATGCAAAATATGATTTGATGAAACTGATTTGTGACACAGTTTGGGCTAAGTTTTCCTTCCTACAGTCAATCATGATATAATTTCTCTCTCTCACATTTTAGGAACCATGGCATTGCATCATGTGTGTGGAATACTTGTTTTCCTCAGTGTTTGTCTGATTTCTTTCACACCATCTTGCGATGGAGGAAATATTCTGGTGTATCCCTTAGATGGCAGCCACTGGGTCAATATGAAGATCCTGCTAGAAGAACTTCATGCCAGGGGACACAACATCACTGTGATCAGGTCATCCACCAGCTGGTACATCCCAGAAAAGTCTCCTCTCTACACATCCATTACCTTCACAACGACTGAAGGATTAGAGGATTTCTTTGAGGTGTACGTACAGAAGATTATGAGGGTAATAATAATAAAATAATAAACTTTATTTCTACTTCTATCTTTAGTGAGGATGTTACAAATTGCTTTAAGATGAATATGATTGAATAAATAGAAATACAAACAGTATAAATAAATCAAACATTTCCAAAATGGTGATCTGGGAGTAACCAGTAAGCCTCCATCTGTGGATCTCAGTTGCAGAGAGGGCACATACCAGGTCAATTAATCAGAAATGTATTTAGGAGCAAGACCATTACAAGGCCTTAAAAGTGAGCAATAACATTTCAAAATCAATTTGAAATCTAAGAGTGTAGGAAGGTAAGCACAGGGATGATGTGATCATGCCTCTTTGTTCCGGTAATGAGTTAAGCAGCAGTGTCTTGAACCAACTGGAGACAGTGGTGGGAGACCCGGCTGACACCTAGTGTAAGGTGCATTGCAATAATCAATCTAAGAATAGATAAAAGCATGTGCCACTTTCTGTAGTTAAGAAATTAATAAAATATCAAAGGAGGTACTTAAGTCTAAAATTACAGACAACTCTGTCAGCAAGTCTTTAGTAACCTTATCAAGGGTGTAGTATAGACCCTTAATAAGGTCTGCGCTGGGGCCTACCACAGGAACTGCCCTGCCAAGTTACAAGCATCAAGCCACACCCAATTTACCGCATGCTATTTACTTTCTTAAAGATCAAGTGGTATATATACACACTCATATGTGCATTTCCCCCTTTGCCATGGTTTCTGACACCACAGAAGCAGTAGAATATAAGGTATACGGTAAAATATAAAAAACACAGATTCAACAGAATGAATTTAATCTTATTTTCTTTGTGTCACATAGCCCAGATATGCTATGATGATTGCTGGGTAATATGTATATCGCTACCCAATCTAAAGTTTCTATTTGATCATGTGACAAGAAGACAAGACTCCAGAAACCGTGTGAAACGCAAAATCTGCAAGTAGACTAGCAGAGCACACGCACAAGTAGACTAGCAGAGCACACACGCAAGCTAGCAGTCATTTACACATAAATGTTTCAAGAAGAGACAGAACAGAAAAGAACAGGAGGAGAGGGTCGCAAAGCTCCCAAATAAGATTGTTTTGGATAACTGAGGACATTGTAATAATGTGTGTGCACCGTAGCTGGCCTGTTTTCAGGATGTGTTGTTTTGTTATGATTAGGCCACTTCTCTTTCTTATTCACCATAATGTCTTGCCTCTCTGTCAAAAAGGAATGTGGTTGCCGTGATTTGGGTGGTTATTGTACTGAAAATGCCCGAAGATGTCTGCGTCATTTCAGCACAGTGGACACCTCCTGCACTCAGCTGATTGTAGTGACTTTTCAAGATTTTGACAATGACAGCACTGGCAACTTTGTTTTTAATAATAATAATAATAATAAATTTTATTTATAATGCACTTTACATTTCAGGGAAATCTCAAAGTGCTACAACAACAAGGGGTTAAAAACAGTTCCAGAAAATAACAATCGCAATAAAACACCGTAACAAAAAATTTAAAACCATGACTGTTAAAAGGCCTTTTGAAATAAAAAAGTCTTTAGGCCCTTCTTAAAAACCTCCAGAGTTTGTGGGGCCCTTAGGGGCTCTGGGAGGGCATTCCAGAGCCGTGGGGCGACTGCCTGGAAGGCCCTGTCTCCCATGGTGGAGAGTTTAGTCCTTGGTTGGTGCAGGCAGTGGGTAGAGGTGGAGGAGCGGAGGTTTCTTAAGGTGGTGAGTGGGGTGAGGAGTTCACTGAGGTAGGCAGGGGCAGTTCCATGTATGCACTGGTGGGTAAGGAGACAGATTTTATATTGAATTCTGTATTGAATGGGCAGCCAGTGGAGGGATTTCAGGACTGGAGTGATATGGTCATATTTGCGCCTCCTCGTCAGGACCCGGGCAGCGCAGTTCTGAATATGCTGGAGCTTTTGCAGTCTCCTTTCTTCTGTACTTTGTAAATACAAAAGTCTAGGTGACACAGTCCGACTCTAAAATCCATCACATGATGGTACTTTAGACTGCTGCATCCAGGCACGTGCAACACAGCCGCAGCAGCAGCTTGTGTGTGTTGGAGAGCAATGCACACAAAGAGAGCTGTTGAAATTAATATGTCAATATAATATTAATATGTTAATATGGAAAGAAATTGATTTAAGGAGCTTTAAATTACTGCATCTAATCTTATTAGTTGCTTAATCCTGCAAACCGAGGAAACAAGGCACATAAATTTGCCAATATAGGGTTCCCTTCTACAATGAGTGTGTGTGTGCGTGTGCTTCGTAACAGTGTAGCCCAAGGGCCCATCATAACAGCTGGCACTTACGCCACTGAACCTTAATAAGTGTTCTCTCAGTACTATGAAGTCCTCTAAAAGCAGACTGGATATAGTTAAAAATGAATTCATCATAAAAGATATCAATTGAAATGAGATTACTTTCTTCACAACCGTACATAAAAAAAGATAATCTGGAGATTGGTTGCAATAAAGGCAAACTACTAGCCCACCTTACTGTGTACTCTCCTATAGTGCTGCAGTAAGATAAATGAGATGCTTACTTAGCCCAGCCAATGCAGCGTGACTGGAGTGAGCATTATCACCAATACAAACAGATAATTTCTCAAGTACCATGCATTCTCATTACAAATAATCACATCGTCACACAGCCGATGATCGGTGCATGACCGCCACGCCTCCTACCACACAACAAAATTTAGAAAGCTTATACATCACACAAACAAGGCTCACACACATCAAACATGGCAAGATATGTATTTATTATACGGATAACTTCCCAGATACTGGGTAAAACAGGCAGAATTAGAATGGGGAATAGGAATACAAGAGTAAGGCTGGATTTGAGACCTGATATTCTCCCTCCTATTTACATAATGTGCAGGAAATCTATTGGACTCAACATCAGGTTCAGGAAAAGAAGTGTAGGGACCATTAGAATAACTTTTAGAGTTGAGGTTGATTCTAGTTATAAGTTCAGAAAGAACATCTCGGGTTACGTATGTAACCCTTGTTCCCTGAGAAGGGGAACGAGACACTGCGTCGGTGACGAAACTATGGGAACGAGATACCCACTTAGGCCACCTGCCGCCAGCGTGCAACCTGAGGCATGTCTAAGAGGAGAGCGCACGGGTGCCGGGTGCCGAAGGAAGGTCCAGACTGTAGAACCGGATGAAAGTGTGAGGGGTGGCCCAGCCAGCTGCGTCACACAAATCCTGGAGCAACGCCCCTGCGAGGAGGGCCCTAGAAGCCGCCATGCCTCGAGTAGAGTGCGCCCTTACGGCCATAGGTGAAGGTAAACCGCGCACCTGATAGGCCAGGGAAATAGTCCGAACGATCCAGTTGCAGATGGTGTGTTTAGAAGCGGGGAGCCCAGCCTTGGGGGACCTGAAACACACTGGTCAACCTCTCGGGCATCCAGGGGAAGGAGAAGGCTTTTCTCCTGGATGCGCCCTTCTCTCATACTGGCGTGTTTGGCGAAGCAGTGGATACTGTCGTCAGCAGGTTTCAGCATGCTAAGACACAGGGAGAGGCGTTTAAGCAGTATCTCCCCTGCCGGTCAGGCTCCAGGACCGTGACGGCTCAGAAGAGGTGGTCTGCTTTCCAGAGCAGATGAAGTCTCCCGTCCTCCGCTGTCACATGAGGTGGGGGATGAAACGCCTGCAGCACCGTGGACCCTGCCAAACTGGACGGAACCTTAGGGACGTAGCCTGGATGAGGGTGCAGGATGGCCCTGACCCTCCCCGGGAAAAACTCCAGGCATCGAGGAGAAACCGAAAGTGCCTGGAGATCCCCACCCTCCTCAGAGAGGTGATAGCGAGGAGAAAGGCCATCGTAACGGTCAGGTGCTTGGCCTCGAAGGGGGCCTCAGCCAGTGCTTCGAGAGCCACTGCCAGGTCCCAAGTGGGAACCCTGGAACGAGTAATGGGTCTCATCCTCCGGGCTCCACGGAGGAAGCGCACGACCAGTGGAAGCCTCCCCAGGGGCCCATCACTCAGAGGGGTGTGGAACGCTGCAATGACAGCCACATACACCTTGAGCATGGACGGGGAGAGGCCCGCGGAGAAATGGTGCTGGAGGAACTCCAGTATCACATGCAGGTAACTGGGTCCACCGCCCGTTCTCTACACCAGGTGGCGAACACATTCCACTTCAGGCCGTACATCCTTCTCGTGGATGGGGCTCTAGAGCTGAGTAGTGTCTCGACCGCTCCTGCCGTTAGGCCCGCCTCCAGGAACTGCGCCCCCTCAGGGGCCAGACCCACAGCTGCCACAGGGCGGGGTGTGGTTGAAAGATCCGGCCCTCCGCCTGGGACAGCAGGTCTCTCCTCAGAGGGACATGCCAGGGCGGGCCCTCCAGGAGCGATATTAAATCCAAGAACCACACTTGTGCCAGCCAAAACGGGGCTAATAGTAGTAGACTTACGCCGTCCTGAAGGACCCCCTCCAACCCCCGGGAGCAGAGCGTCGAGGGGAATGGCACGACACAGTCTCGGCCGCGTCTGCACCATGGCATCCAGCCCTAGCGGGACTGGGGGTGAGAGGGAGAACCACAGGGGACAGTGCACCGTCTCTCGGGACGCAAATAAGTCCACGTCTATGGGGCCGAACCTTTCGCATAATAACTCCACCACCTCGGGGTGGAGTCTCCATTCCCCGGGCCTCAGCCCCTGTCTCGACAGCAGGTCTGCTCCCTGATTCTGGGTCCCAGGGACGTACATTGCTCTGAGGGACAGCAGTCTCTACTGGGACCACAGGAGGATCTGATGTGCCAGTTTGCATAACGCCAACATTTCCAGGCAATTTATATGCCAGGAGAAATGATGCTCCTGCCAGGAGCCTCTCACAAAGCGGCCGTCCATGACCGTGCCCCATCCCGTGAGTGAGGCGTCTGCCGAAATAATTGTTCGGCGACAGATCGCTCCCAACACGGGCCCTTGGGACAGGAACCAAGATTTCCTCCATACAGACAGGGAACGAAGGCATCTGCTCGTAACCCGTATCAGACGGAGCGGATGTCCCCTCGGGGAGAATCCCTTGGATTTTAGCCACCACTGCAGGGCTCTCATGTGCAGTAGTCCAGAAGGTATTATACTGGACGCTGCTGCCAGGAGACCCATCACCCTCTGAAAGTGTTTTACAGTGATGGCGCGGCCTAACTGCACTCTGGTCACTGAGGACAAAATGGACTCGACGCGTGCGGGAGACAGGTGGGCCCGCATCTTCGTTGAGTCCCACACCACCCCTAGGAACATAGTCCGCTGGGTGGGCGTCAGCACGCTCTTCTTCGTGTTGGGCCGCAGCCCCAAACGCTGAAGGTGGGCGAGGACGACATCTCGATGTCGAACTGCTAATTCCCTAGACTGGTCCAGGATGAACCAGTCGTCAATATAGTTTAAAATGCGGATGCCCTGGAGCCTCAGCGGGGCCAGGGCTGCATCCATGCATTTGGTGAACGTGCGGGGAGAGAGTGCTAGGCCGAACGGAGGAACCCGATATTGGTACGCTGCGCCCCCGAAGGCGAACCTCAGGAACTTCCTGTGAGAGGGACAGATGGAGATGTGGAAATAAGCGTCTTGCAGATGAAGCGAGGGTGAGAAAGGTAGCTAGCAAGCGTTTCCTCTACCCGCGGCATCGCTCCATAGCCGTGCTGTCTGATTCCCGTTACGTTGCCGTAGAACAGCCGAGGGGACGTAGACAGCCGTGCGGAGGAGGGTTTGTTCCAAGATCTGCACAACTTGTTGTGTAGAGGGGAGGAGGATTCCGCAGATGAGGACCGGGAAAAGGCCTCAGCCGTCCCGGCACCCTCGGAGATCTCACGCTGTGATCCCCAGGATCGGAGCCACCGCAATGCCTCAGCGACCGCGGGGCCTGTACCACGGGGGGAGCGCATCCGACCATCCTCCAGAAAGAGAGCCGCACGAGACCTCAGCACCCACAGGGTCAGGGCCTCGCAATGGCTGCAGGCAGCCCCCTCAAGAGCTGCCTGGGCGCGCGACGTCCCCAGGCAGGAAACGCACATTTCGTGGGTATCCCCCTCCGTGATGAAGCGCGGACAAGGGAAGACAGTCGTAAACGCTTGACGGACATGATCTCTGCTGCTTCACTTGACTTCAGGTATGCCTGCTGAATAGAAAGAAGCTAATGTGTCCTGTGTGCCGGCGTGCTTATATACTCCTCCAGTTACGCCGTCACATGCTGCCGTTCTAGCAACACCAATAGAATTGGAGTAGTTTCATTCATAATTCAGCCCTGCCACGCCGAGAGGCGTTCCCATAGTGTCGTCACCGACACAGTTCGAGTTCCCTTGAAGGGAAGTGCTTTCTGATAAATAAACATATGGTTTGTAAGGATATTATATATTATTTAGGACTTTTTCACCTTCAGTGGTTGTTCAGATTGTCTTGTCATTATGGATTATGTAATGAGTCCCACATGATTAATTTAGTCATTCTGATGAAGAAGATAATCACTTTTCACCACTCAATTTGTAACCATTTTTCAGGCGCAGAGAGAGGAGGCTTCAGCACTTACTTTCTTCAAACTCACCAAGGATTTCCTTTCTGCGATTTATAAGGGTCATTCATGGGCCCTTCAAGTCTTCAATGATGAAAAAATGATCAAAAGCTTCATGGATTCCCAATATGATCTTGTTCTCACTGACCCAGGCATAGCAGCAGGGGTTGTCTTAGCCAAGTATCTAAAACTGCCCATGGTGCTCAATGTTCGCTGGATCAACAGCGGAGAAGGCCACTTTGCGATAGCCCCCTCACCACTCTCTTACATCCCAGTGCCAGGGTCAGGCTTAACGGATAAAATGAATTTCATCCAGAGGATCAAGAACATTTTTTTCTACAGCATTGTAGTGTTCCAGCAGAAATTCATCGTGGGGCCAAGCTATGATGCCATCTGTGATAAATATATCAAGGGTGGATGTGACATCATTTCGCTACTTCAGGAGGCAGACATTTGGCTGTTCAGGTCAGATTTTGTGTTTGACTTCCCTCGGCCCACAATGCCGAATGTTATCTACGTAGGAGGGTTCCAGTGCAAACCAGCCCAACCTCTGCCAGCAGACCTGGAGGACTTTGTTCAGAGTGCTGGGCAGCACGGAGTCATCATCATGACTCTGGGCACTTGGGTTAAAGCTTTGCCAAAAGAGGTTGCAGTTGAAATTGCCAGCGTCTTTGCCAAGATGCCTCAGAAGGTAACACACACTGAGTGATTGTGAAATGTTTGATCCAAAGAAAGACATTCATGCAGTAATGAATCCATCATAAAAGCAATATTTTAAAATTTAAAGATATTGATAAAATACTACAACTGGACAAATCAGTCCTCCAAGTAATACATAAAAAAATAAATTGATTTGTAGCCCTGTGAGAGACTTGAAGCCTGCACAGGGAATCTTATGAGTGAGTTTTATTTTTGGTATTTCCTTCTGCTATTTCCTGTTGTCCCCATCCCCCGTCTCTTGCAGGTATTGTCCTTTCTCTGTGTGTCTGTTTATGTTGTGTTTCTGTTCCCCATCCTCATGTCTGTCCCCTGTCTGGCCCGGTGACAAATAAATTTAAATAAATAACAAAACAGACAAAGGAGTATATTAATACTCTCTTGTTAAAGTAAAATCTCTCTGGCACAATGTGGTATCCAGCTCCTTAAACTCTATACCAGGCTGCCAGGCAGGACAGGTTTTAAAAAAAAAGAAAAAAAAAAGAAAATAGATAGATTGATGACTTAAACACAGATTTACGGTGTAAATCAAAGACGCTGTGCAACACTTTACACTGCACTACACAATGTTCAAAAAGTTATTAAAAACTCCTTTTTAAACTTTGCAACACTACTGCACTAGTACACTGCTCAGCACTTGTATTGTGTTGTTGTTTTCAAGGTTCTTTTATTTAATTCATCATCTTGGAAAGTGCTCACTATATAAAATGTATTATTATTATTATCACTACTGTTATTACATAATGTACAACTGGTGTACAGATACACAGTTAATTCATAATGATTCTTTTCATTTTCTGATCAGGTGATATGGAGGCACATAGGGGAGCATCCCTATACTTTGGGCAACAACACCCTGATAGTGGACTGGATGCCACAGAAGGACCTCCTGGGCCACCCACAGACCAAAGTCTTTGTTGCTCATGGAGGAACCAATGGAGTCCAGGAGGCCATTTACCACGGGGTCCCTGTGCTTGGCATACCCTTGTTCTTTGACCAGTATGACAACCTTTTACGTCTGCAGGAGAGAGGAGCAGCAAAGATCATTCAGCTGGGTGACGTTAGTGGCCACAGTTTTGAGCAAGGTATTAATGAAGTGCTCCATCAAGAAAGCTACAGACAGAACATGCATAGACTGTCACGTTTGCACAGAGATCAGCCAATGGCACCCATGGATCAGGCCATCTACTGGGTGGAGTATGTGATGCGCCATAAAGGGGCTCCTCACCTCCGTACAGAGGCCTATAAGATGCCTTGGTATTCATACTACTGTTTTGATGTACTGCCACTTTTGCTGACTGCAGTGACTGTACTGCTGTTTTCTACTTTGGCTGTTTTTAGGTCCCTATGCTGCAGAGGTAAAAGAAAGTCCAAAACCAAGCAACACTGATTAAGTAATTTGTTTAAAAATACTCTGCCATGGGTTCTTTAAATCATTACATTTAGACAAAACCATGTTTATCTTTCCTGTTTCAAAATAAATTGTCAAATGGATCTGGACAGTTGTAAAATTCCCCAAAATCACTGGTGATATTTTTAGGTAAGGCTATAAGGGGAAACTTCCACTGTAACGGAGGGCAAATAATTCTTTAAAGGAGACCTATTATGCTTTTCCATACATGGAGCATCTACAGCTTGTTTCAGACAGAGGCTGAAATGAAGGCCTACATGAAAGGCCAGTAAAAGGTAGAAAATTAGTTTTTTGAACCATGAATCATGCAAAGATGGCACACAGGAGTTCAACAATATAGGACTGGAATATATATATAATATAAAGGGTCTCGTTTAAGTAATGAGCTTGTTTAGTTTTCAGTGGCCTCTAGTGGTGAGGTTTCATATTGCAACCACTACCTCTCCAAGCATGTCTTCATGTGCGTGCTCGAACTCATGAGCGAGCCAAAACAGACTGACACACCGAAGACAGCATTACATAAAATGTAACAGCAATATTTTTGTCTGCTTGATGTTCTTATTCATGCTCGTTGCATGATAAGAGAATACACAGTATGCATTTAGCTGACAGCTTTTTAATAATTATAACAATAATTGTTGTTATATAACAATAACAATTATCATATAATTCTGAATATGATAAATGAGATTGTTGCCACAGTTTAGTATAACAGTTAGACCACAGTAAGTAATGTTTATGTACTGAATGGGTCTTTCACTGTGGTGTTGTCTTGCTCTGTTGTGTTACATTATTGTATATTATGTGGGTCACATAAGTTACGGTATCTGCAAAATACGGTAAAGCGTCAATAAATCTAAAGTGAGCAGTACGAGGCAAACAACGACAGATCCATGCTAATCTAGCTGGCTGCCCCTGGCATGCATCACTATTGGTTTTAGAAACAAACAAGCATACCATTGCACTACTGTACAGTCGTACCACACATTCTGTATATACTGTAAATCATTCCCTAGACATAAACATTCCTACTGTACATACTGTATAATCCCACAACAGTAACATTTGCACTACTGTACATATTATAGTTATTCATACCATACTGCCATAACCTGTTCATAGCCTGTATATACCTGTAGCAATAGATATTCACGTATACATATGTTTATATTTATATATCATTCATACCTTGCACACAATATTCTATTTAATTACAGCTTAAGCACTTCTTGTTAGATGCTATCTGCATTTCGTTGCTTTGTACCAGTGCCATGCGCAATGACAATAACGTTGAATCTAATCTAATCTAGTCTAAAATTGTTCCACATTTGCTTTGTACTATTACATAATTTTTTAAACTATAGTATAGATAACATCAGCAACTGGTCACTGTTGCCCGGCATCTAACTTTAGACAACTAAAACACAAAACCAAATCATTATATATTTTACATGATACAATAATGTTAGCCTATCTGTCCACTAGCTACTACTTTCTGATGTTGACCGTGTTTTCGCCCCACATTGATCTGATTCTTGTTTTGCCCGACAGCTTCAGCCCAAAACATTTTTGTTTGTTTTTTATCCTTACATGGAGTTTGTGTTGAAGTCTGTGTTTTTTTGGTGTTAGTTGCGGTGTTGCTGTGTATACAGTTCAGAATCAGTATGCAAGAGGTTCGGGTGCGCACATGAACATAAACCAACCATACTGAGTTAATCTTTAAGAACACATTTATGTACATCTAACTGGATGCCACAGAGTTTGTTTTAATGGTTAACTTTGAGATCAGTTATGTCCTGCTTGTTATTCTTTGTGTTTATATCAATCCATGTAAATGACATTATCTTCTAAACTAAAATCACTGCCAGTGAAAAGAAAAACCTCAATACTGAGTATGGAAAATACTATATTTTAAGAAAATAGATTGTATTAAAATTATTTCCCTTTCCTGAACAGTCCAAAAACAGATTCTTTGAAACAATCATCTCTCTTTGTTAAGCATAAGCTCCATGTATAACAGGAGTGAGGTATTCTTGGTAAGTCCTAAAAGCTAAATTAAAGGTTCAGTTGGATCAGTTAGGAGGATCTATTGACAGAAATGCAATATTATATACGTAACTGTGTTTTCAGTGGTGTGTTGGTGGTCAAATGGTGTGTTTACATAATAAACCCTTTTGTTCTTATTACCTTAGAATTTGCCATTTCTATCTACATATTCCCTTTACACGGACGTCAGCATGTTGCACCGCCATGTTTATACAGTAGCCGAATGGGTTAACGGCACTACAGAGCGTGTTTCGTCACTACATATGAATACATACGAAGAACAACCACAACAAGTAAAAGTAGTAGTCGTAGTAGTAGTAGTAATAATCGACTGGGATATAGAAGTAAGAAAAGAAGAGAAATTTGGACAAATGGAGCCCCACAAGTTTTATTTAGCACAAGAGCCAACAAAGCGTGTTGGCCACCGTAGCTTCTCCTGCGTGCTTGGAAAGGGAGGGCTGAGTGGTGAGTGATGGTGCATTCATGTGCTGTCGGAATAATAACAATCTTTTTTTCCTCAACCTCTTGGAAACAGACACCTTCTAGGTAAAATAACATACCCAAAATGAATCAGGAATAACTCCTCAACCATTAGGCCTAGATGCCTATTCTCCTTTGATAGGTCAGGTTTAAATCAAGATGCAATAAAGGGAAATATGATATTTTCATCCTTGTCTGGTATAAAATCTATATTTTAATAGCAATATTACCATCAAAATCATCATTCTGTACATTATAATGCAACAGTATATCTTCTACTATACCTGGAACACAACATCTATTAAAAATATACCAGGCGAATGTCCATGTTTTGGCCATATTCTGTTTACATGTTCACTTTTATTGGTGTTTTCTTCAAAACACTATTTCTGTTCAATCAACCATGTTCCAAAGAACATAACTGTTCCAAAACATTGAAATATTGATAAAAACAGTGAATTTTCATTAGAATTTCAAAGAACTCCCTTGCTTTACAGGCCCACAACTTGAGAACAGTAAATAGGTTCTGTCTCATGTTTACCAACGAAGTCACACAGAACTCATATTTGAAAGAAAGGTCCACCATCGTTCAGCAAAGGGTGTTACACACCTTCAACAAGCCGGCGTTAGTGCTCACTCGGCATTGTAGGGTTTAACAACCCACTACCACTCCGTCCTCACTGGTTTCGGATGTCCAACGAAGGTTAAAATCAAGGGCAACTGGACTTGGTTGAAGATACTGGAAGACGTTTCGTCTCACATCCAAAGGACTTCTTCAGTTCTGACTGACTGGCAGGGAAACTCAGCTATTTAACCTCAGTGGGGTTGTTGGCCCGGGTCATCGATACCGCTGGTTCGTTAGTGTTCCTTCTTGCTGTGACGACAGTCGTTACAGTCGTTAAGACTACCCGTGGCCAAGACTGAACGACTATCGTTGGTATCTTCACCTGAGGCCAATAGGTTACGTTTTTTGAGTTTCCTGGGAAGTGATGAAAGGACAGCATTGTAAGTGGGGGATAAGTGGTGGCGTAGACCCCCTCCCCTGTTCAATGACGGCTTCTCAACCCTGGTGTAGATGGCTTCCTTGACACCTCTTTCAAACCATCCATCTTCTCTGTCTAAAATGTGCACCTGGTGGTCCTCAAACGAGTGTCCTCTGTCCTTCAGATGTAAGTAGACTGCAGAGTCTTGACCTGAGGAGTTGGCCCTTCTGTGTTGAGCCATGCGTTTGTGTAGTGGTTGTTTAGTCTCCCCAATATACAGGTCTGTGCATTCCTCACTGCATTGGACCGCATACACTAGATTGGTTTCGGATGGCACTCAATATGGCGGACCCTCCGCATGAGTTGGGTATATTGGAGGCAGCACAGCTGTTTTTCATCAGCTCATCCCAGAGTGTTTATCAACTGCCGGCCACCTGTTGCTCGTCGCTAGATTATTCTTTGCCAATACACGGTTGAGGTCTTCAGGCTAGTTTGTCTTCTCATAGTTTTTAGATTCTTGTTGTGCGCTTTCACTCACCTGTGTTCTCTTCTGCCCTCTCCAAATCATTCCCAAGAAACTGACCCTCTAGAAAAGTATCAGCTCCACTACCTCCGAGGATATTCTACCAGACAACCCGCTGCCACGGCCTGACCCCCTGCTTGTACCCACTCACTCAGTCCGGACTGAATTCTTGAGTTTTTTGAGAATAAAATCTGTAAACGTCTTCCCCCGCTACCGGAGTCTTTCTCTGCACTTGGGTCCACCTGTAACTACACATCACTTCCCACATTTTGTCATTACAATATGTAGGTTATGTTGTTTGTTTGTCAACTATGGTAAAAAGTATTTTGCTATTGTTATTGTTTATGATGTTGGAGAAAGAGGATTGTCTAAGGTAAAAACTAAAGTCTTTCTCCTACGTCTTGTCACGACCTTGGACTTGATTGAGTGTGGTGTTTTTCTGTTATTTTGTTAATGTCCATTCCTGTTTTACGCTTTGCCTCTGTGTTCTTGTTTCGATTTGGTTAGTTGATCATAGGTTCCTTGTTCTCTGTCTGGTTTCACATTTCCTTGTGTATTGTCAGTGGCTTTACTTCCTGTTTTATTTTGTAATCATTGGTGTTTGGTGTTCTTGTCTAGCTTTGTTTCCTGTCTGCCCTCTTTCCTAATGTGTCTCACCTGTGACTAATTGTCCTGCCTGCTTCTGTGTGTGTGTGTGTGGTTTGTGCCAGTGTATATTGTGTTCAGTCTTTGTTGTAGTCTAATGTTGAGTGTTCTGCCTCATGCCCTGTTTTCCACTGAATTTCCGGATTTTTCTTGGATTACTCTTCCTTAATTGGATTTACCCCCTGTGTTTGGATTACCTTTGCCTTTTGTTTGGACATTTCTGTTAGTGATTGTTTCTATTTTCTAGTGTCTGCATTTTGGGTCCATTCCTCAGTTTGTCTACCGTTGCACTCTGTCTACCTGATACACAGTACAATGCAACAATGACTGAACACAACTGAGGGCAATATATACTGTTGCACATGTCTCATCCCAAGTCGTGTGAAAACGCCTCTTGGAGCCACACTCAAAACCCAATAGGAAGTCAGCCATTTTGATTTGAACGTGGAATTTCAGCCATTTATGGCCTATTACACAGTCTGTACTTTAACAAACCACTCCTAGAGAATAAATCAGAGCGACTTCAAATTCTTGCTGTACATTCTTAAGGCATTAACGATGAAAAGTCGTACTATTTGTGAGTTTTTGTTGATGGGCGTGTACAATGGTGTGGACTCAAAGATTGATGACTCACCATGAAACAGGAAGTTGTTATAGCTTCACTGTACATGCTCACATCTGTACCAAACTTTATATGATTCACTTATTGTCATAGCACCACCTAGTGGCAACAGGAAATTAGCCATTTCTTTCAATCGTCGTTTGATTTACAAGGGTTTTTCACAGCATGGTCCACACTTCATTTTAGGCACACAACACATAATTAGCGAGTGTTCTTATTAATTCAAAGTGATATAGTTCTGAAGATTTGTTATCTGAATACTTCTTTATTTGAATAAGTCTATAAATTAAATTTTAATCACTTTAGCTTTTGTAAGCAGTTTATATATTTGTTATATATAACAGTGTGTAATGATTTTTTGTTAGTTTGATTAGATTAATTAGATAAAATTATGGCAAGTGGGTTTATTATTGAATGTAATAGGTTTTTAAATGTGTTGAAAAGTTACTTTTGCAACTGCAATAATGGCTTCACTAAATACAAATGTGTACTGTTCCCGTTACGTATTATATACAGCTTGTATGTTAACGTAAGTAAATACCCAGCCAAACTCAATTTTCACGAGCCAGGAAGCGAGCGCGTTGCTCCTTTATTGACTTTGTTCTTCCTGTTTGACAGGTGAAAACTTAAGAGTGAAACTGAAATAATAAATAAACAAAAGGCAGAAAATACTTATAATGTCTCTTTGATAACAAACAAACAATAAAGTTGCTGTATGACTACAAAACAACTGGCCAATAAGAGCTAACATTAGCCATCAACCAAATTACATGCAAATAATGTGTTACCGTTAGCATCTAGCCTAACTTTATCACAAATTAGCATCTCTGTCACACTAGAATAAATTCCTGTTAATTCTGTGCATTTACAACTAACATTGTACACAGAAAGTAAACCTAGGTCACTTATACATGTCAAATAATGTAACAGCCAAAACACTTACAGCCATTGCTTTTGGGGGACAAAGAAAAGCGAAAACACAGGAGAAACCTTCACCACGTACACATCCATGCCTGCAACTTTCAATTGGGGTTTCCTAATCCAGCCTGCAAGGCATGTCTCTTGCAGTAACAAAATAAAGGTTCATCTTTCAAAATAAAAGTTCATACAAACCAGTTTTACTGATTATAAATCAGAAGGCAGAACAAAATGTGTTTGGTTTTGGTGTAGTTAATGTTTATATCAGTTTACTTAAATAATTGCTAGCCTTAAAATTAAAAATTAAAGAAATTCAAGTAGCTGTCACTTACGTTTACTTTATATTTAACAATTTTTATTGAATTTCAATTAAACCATGTAGCTTTTTCTACAGCACATATTGGACCAAATGTATACAAACGCATTATGGCTGTATTTTACAGATATTGACCAATATGAAAGATACCCCCTGACTGTTAAACTGACAAAGGGACACGAACCAGCGATTAGCATTTCCCTGCTAACCCTATCAAAACTGCCCCCCACACACACACGTAACCATGGCAACTATACTGGGTCTGTGTTTCATTACCCCATCAAAGGGATACTCCTGGTCTCACCCGCTTGTGACATAACCCAGGAAGCCGAACTTTACATAAACAAAGACTGCAGTCTCCAAAGACTCAAAGCATTTAATTAAGTTTAATTAAATCTTTTAGTTACTTGATTACGTTTGCCTCTATTTGAGTAGTTATGTTACCATGTTGTTGCTATCTGTTGCTGATATTAGTGCTGAAAAGAATCTAAATAAGTTACTTTTGCAGTGTTTTGTATTTTCAGCAAGACACTCCCTCATCTAATGTGTAATCAATGCTTGTTCATAATACTTTCCTACAAAATTCCTTTAGAAATGATGATAAAGAAATGTCTTACTATACTCTTAATCGCCAACTTGAATTTAAGGCT